AAACAACTTCAAGTCTTACGCATTTTGGTACCATTTTCGTTGAAATCTGATATACCTGTAGGGTATATAATATTAGTATGCGCATGTCATCAAAAAGTGCTGTAAAAGCATATATTATTTATGTACAAGCAGAAATATGAATACAAGTTTAGATGTAGAATCATCAAATTGCCTTGATATGTTTCTCAAAGTAACTTGATGTATTCCAGAACAAAATGATACATTACAAATAAAACAAAAAATATAATAGGAAGGAAAAAAGTACTTAAGAAAATGAAATGATGAATTTCGATATTTTTTTTTTTTGTCGGATATGAGCAGTGATATGCAGATGGGTAGTGGAGAAATATTGTTCTACAGTGAGAAAGTGGGTGAAATTATTGTTTTTGGCTTTGCTCTCAGTGCCAAACCAGGGCTAAACATACTTTAGAAGTAAAAAAAATAATCACGTAATTTGCATTAATAATTTATACGATGCATTTTCAAACATCATAAAACTCATGAAACTTCATGATGAATATGAAATGAAGGAAACCTTTATTCAAGATTCTTCACAAGTCTAGAGCCAAATATGTAGAGTATTCTGTAAAGTGCATAACATTAGCATTTTGCATAATTAATTAGGCTTTATCGACAAAAATTTGCATAGGCCTATTAGGAAAAAAATTCATATACCATCTTCGTCCTTAATACGTGAATATCTACACACGTGCAAATATTCGTGTTCATCGGACATTTGACGGCCGAGATCATGGGGGCACCCCGACCCCAGCCCCTCCCTCCCCCCTCCCCCAGTCAGAGAGAGGCCAAAAGATTTGGGCATCGGTTACATTTGATTACATACATAAATGGTCTATGTTGATGATGGCAGAGTATCAATTTTCCTCCAATTTAATATCATATCTTGTTGCAGTGGTGGATCCCTATTGGCGGCGCAAAAAAAAGGAAGAAAAAAAGAGGAAGAAAAGAAGAGGAAAAAAAAGGAGAAGAGGAGAAGAAAAAAAGGAGAAGAGAAAAGAAAGGAGAAGGGAAAAGAAAAAGGAAGAGAAGAGAAAAGAGAAAAGAAAAGATAAAGAAGAAAGCCCAACTCCTCCCCCCCCCCCCCTCCCCCTCCCTCCCACTCCGGGGTCGGAGGGACCGAATTTGTGTTCCCAAAATTTCCGATAAAGAGTTACTTTTCACGCAACAAAGTCCGGCCCGTAATACACAAAAATCCGGCCCGTACTGACTTACACCGGAGATAGAGGGGTGCTTTCAAAGAGAGGGAACATACATGTGCGTACCCTATAGTAAGTGGGTGGGGGGGGGGGATTCGGTGAGAAAGGGGGAAAGACAAGGAAATGGCGCTAAGTGACAGTAACGACGAATAAGGGAGAACTGTAATCGGGAGATTTGGGGTCATTCCAGAAGGTTTGGCAAACGTTATTGAATAGAGGGGGCCGGGCCGGCCGCATAAAATCTCGAGCCGCGGATTCAAAGTTAAACGTAAAAAACAGCCCCCTGCGCTACAAAGGTCATCACTCTTTAGTGAGAAATTTGAAAAGGGCACAATATTTTGGATGTCTTTTAAATAGAAGCTATATACTCTACAGTCAAATTTTAAATTAACGGTTGGGCCGCTTCATTACTCTTATTTTGTCCTTTATTTGGATTCAGCTCATACCAACTCGCTCGTGTTTGTATTTGAACTCATGTTGGTAGTAATCATGGACAGGGGCGGCAATCCTGGGTCCGATAGGGAGACACGTCCCCCAGGAAATTTAGAAATATAGCTAGAAAGAAATATAGCGGAATTTTCTAGAATGCATAATTTCAACATTGCAAAATCTTGCTTGGTTGCTACGCCCCGGCCCTCGCCCGATAACACAAAACTATGATATGACGCTTCCGGCCGTGATTTATCCATGGTTAGTGTAATAGATCTTTTCTCCCTTTCATTTCTACTAACCTAATTGTGTGCTATCACAATCATGATTGTTTCATTTTCCCTTTAAAGCAGGCGCGTAGCCAGGGGCGGTAGGGGCAGGAAGAGGACATAGGACGAAAAAGGAGCAGACAAAAAAAAAAAAAAATTCTGACAAGTCGAGTACGGTACAACGAATCGTCTTTTTTCTCTAATAATTTAATGTAATGTCAAAGCTTCCGCGCTTCGCTCGGGAGGGGGGCAACTGAAATCAGACAAGGAATGGTAAAACGGATCGTCTTTTTTGTCTAATAATTTAATGAAACGTCAGAAGTTTACGCGCTACGCGCGGGCGGGGAAAAACTGAATTCAGCCAAGGATTTAGAGTCGAGAATGAAACAACGAATCATCTTCTTTCTCTAATAATTCAATGACACGTCAAAGCTTCCGCGCTTCGCGCGGGAGGGGAAAAACTGAATTCAAACAAGGATTCAGAGACGAGAATGGTACAACGATTAGTCTTCTTCCTCTAATAATTTAATGAAACGTCAAAGCTTCCGCGCTACGCGCGGGAGGGGGGGGGACTCAATTCAGACAAGGATTAAGAGTTACGAATCGTCTTCTTTCTCTGATAATTTAATGAAACGTCAAAGCTTCCGCGGTTCGCGCGGAAGGGGGGGGGGACTCAATTCAGAGAAGGATTAAGAGTCGAAAATGGAACAACGAATCATCTTTCTTTAATAATTTCATTAAACTATGAAAGGCCAAAGTTTCCGTGCTTCGCGCTGGAGGCGGGGGGGGGGCTGCATTCAGTCAAGTAATAAGAGTCGAGAATGGTACAACAAATCTTCTTTTTTCTCTAATAACTAATGAAACGTCAAAGCTTCCGCGCTTCGCGCGGGAGGGGAAAAACTGAATTCAAACAAGAATTAAGAGACGAGAATAGTTCAACGATTCGTCTTCTTCCTCTAATAATTTAATAAACCGTCAAAGCTTACGCGCTACGCGCGGGCGGGGAAAACTGAATTCAGACAAGGATAAAGAGTCGAGAATAGTACAAAGAATCGTCTCCTTTCCCTTATAATTTAATGAAACGCCAAAGCTTCCGCGCTTCGCGCGGGAGGGGGGGGGGGGAACTTAATTCAGAGAAGGATTAAGGGTCGAAAATGGAACAACGAATCATCGTTCTCTAATAATTTCATTAAACTAAAAATATTGTATCAAACCATATTATGTTCATGAAAATGTATGATGAAAAAAGAAAAAAAAAGATGCAGAAACCAATCAAATCAAATCAAATCAAATAAACTATGAAAAGCCTAAGTTTCCGTGCTTCGCGCGGGAAGGGGGGGGGCTGAATTCAGTCAAGTAATAAGAGTCGAGAATGGTACAACAAATCTTCTTCTTTCTCTAATAATTAATGAAAGACCAAAGCTTTGAAACGCCAAAGCTTCCGCGCTTCGCGCGGGCGGGAGGAAACTGAATTCAGACAAGGATTAAGAGTCGAGAATGGTACAACAAATCGTCTTCCTTCTCTAGTAACAATTAATGAAGGGTCAAAGCTTCCGCGCTTCGCGCGTAATGGAGGGGGGGGGGGGGGGACAGCGAGCTGCCCGAATATGAGTTTTTGATATCTTTTCTCGTTTATTTTGGTGATAAATAACACTTTCACAAATTATTGTTGCCCGCTCGCTTCGCTCACTATTTCGAATTGTGAAACCAGAAAATTACTTTCCGGGCAAGAGGCTATAGCCCCCCCCCCCCCCCCCCCCGATGAAAATGTCAAAAATTCTACCGGTATCGTGCTTCTAATATGACCTTGTCAGTATTGGTATGTTGAGTTGAAAAAATGGTCTGCGCAATTTTCAAATTTCCGGCCCCCCCCCCTATTGGAAAATCCTGGATCCGCGCCTGATTGTTATGACGGTTAATTATATCAAATCTTTGAACTACAAAGAATGTCCACGTTCTCATATTTTGCTGAGTGGGTATACATGCATGTAGGCCCTATATGAAAAAAGTTCCACATTTTGAAAGATATGTATATGCGGTTCATTTTTCTTCTTCAAATCTAGCTCAGGTTTGAAAGTCATGTGCAAGATGGATCATACACCTTGTGTGAATTTCCCTGCCTACAGAAATCTACAAAAGCCACCTGCCTGTGCCAGACTTGAGCTAACCGTTTTTTTTCTCGAAATTAACGTACAAACCAACCAATACTCTTTGTTTCTTTTGTTCGATAGGAAGGCGCGCCTTGTAGTTTAAATGTACAAACCTTTGCTGCATGAACCAAATCATATCTGATTGATACACGTCTGTAAAAACCCAATACACACACACACACACACACATGGATCAAATAGCACACTTTGGGTGAATATAATGGTAGTTAGTATTGTACGGACATAGGCAATGGAACACCGTGTTATTTCATGTAAAATAATTATATTACAGACATATCGCAAAGACTAATGTAAATGTTGTAGGTGTCCTTAATTTCCTACCTCACGAACACTAATTTATGAAACTGAATTCAGGCATAACATTTTAGAGGTGAAAAATAGGGGTAAAAAAGTCTCAAATGAGTCTGTTTTATACTAATGAAAGACTAGGTGAACAAATGCGGTGGTGTTCATGCATGCCTGGCTTAAAGAGAAAGTTGAGTTCTGCGGAGAGGTGAAACATGATTATTTGTTGCGAGTGTTTTCTTTATAATGCAAGTGTGGAAGAACACGAAAGAAAAAATGTTCCTTGAAAAGCATGGCATTTCAAATACCTTAATATTCTAAATAAAACATGACACAGCTTTCAAATTGAGGACCTCATTATTATGCCACATGTTTGTGTAGTCCCATATACATTTTTCTGTGTATAGTGCTCGTTTACTTTTACCTTATACCCTACCTGCTTTTCCCAAGACTGGGTCAAATTTCTTATCATTTTGATGATTCCAGAACCCTGTAGTACCACCAATACTTAATTGCTACACGGTCATCTTTTTCTGATCAATTCCACACCGTTTTTTGTTGACAATGCTATCCGCATGACCAGAACTCAACTTTATCTTTAACCAGCCGCATTTTGGGTGTGGTATATATAATACACACCAACCGTTAGCCGCTTCATTCATAGTGATTGCTGTAGACACATCAACGTCGTGAGCAAGCTCAGTGTGAAAACCCATTTCTTCAGTACAAAGAAATAAGAAAGCCTTATACAACATGGTAAGTGGATTTATATTCACATGTTTTAGCGCTATCTAAGATGACTGTTATTTTAAGAGGTTACGGTCCAATCTTGAGCAGCAAGTCGTTCGTAGGGTAAACATTATCTGATTATTAATGGTGATTCATCAGCATGATCAGTGAGGATCGCGTTTGTTCGTCATGTTTGCTATGCTATGTTTGGTGTACTTTAATAAACTGAACTAAACTAAACACTTCCATTTACAGTTACAGTATGATAGGCGAAATCATTTCTTCACCATAAAAACATATCATATTTCTTCATATTCGTAATATTTTATTGAACACCATGAACACATTAATATTTTTCATGAAAATGTATACGCACTGTACCAGGCGAGGGCCATATATATCATCGAAGTTGCATGTATAGGCAGGATGGATATTTGACAAAGGACAAAGAATTGTGCAAAGAATAATTGGCTTGCATATGTGCATGCATAGACTATTTTAGGCGCGTGATGACGAGGCACCGAAAACGGGCTAGTTTTTCACTTTCGTTTTCACTCTGTGCAGGGTACTACGTAATACACATAACACAATCTTTATAAAATTCATCTAATCCGAGCTAATGTGCTTTTGAAAAAAGCCGTCACACCAACGAGAAAATTGTGAATAATCATCTACTTTACGCCACGCCCTAGTCGTCGGGAGAAAATGGCAGCCCTATGTCAGAAGCATGCAGTAGTAGTACACTATGTATGTGACGTTGACACGTACAAACTCGCGCGCCAATGCACGCGTTATATTATACCATCGACCTTACACGGCAAGCTAGCCTATGCACACCACATAACTGGATAATCGACGTGTGGCCGTCGAACGCATTGGGGGATACGCTCGAGTGCACTTGTCGCCATATTGCCTAGTCCTCTTTCTTTCTATAAAATACCGCCGACTTAGATTCCTTTGTAATTTTGAAGTTGGACTTTTCACATATCAATTATTGGCATGAGTTATCATCTAGTATATTAAATTAATTAAATCTCTTCCAAGTTCCAAGACCAGGATAAAATAGATGGGTTAAATTTTGTTCAAATCTGACTAAATAGCTTTTTTTTAACAATATTTTTAATGGGGAATTCAGTTATTTACTTTATGTTTACTTAAAATGGTTTATTGAAAAGAAATTATTCATGGCCAGATTATTTTACAATCATGATAGTGAATACATTGCAAAATGATTAAACATAAATATCAATGTGATTGTATTAGATTGGTTGAAACATTCAAATTTTATGGAGACTTTAAACAAGGGTTATCATTGACAACCTCTAAGCTCACCTGAGGCTTACCTGACATAGCAACAATCAATGTATACATTACTAGAAGTCACTGGATTCCAAGTAGTTGTAGTTCATTTATAGCTGAGCTCATTAGTAGGTCCCCAAGGAGGGAAACATCCATAGATTTGAATATATTAGTAAACTGGTCTTTTGACAATCGTGCTTACTAGAAATGAAGGATGAAGAGCAATATATTATAGGTCATTTTGATTGGTTGATTGACCTTGTTCAACAAATGTGACGTGATATGACATTTTACAGGATATCAAATTATGGCGAAGCGGGGGAGGGGCAAATGCCCGGCCCCCCACTCAGTGTTATTTAGGTACGCATATGCTCGTACCCTCTTTTTGAAAGCACCCCCTATCTGAGGACTGCCAACATTTCCGAACCCCCCTTTCGCGGGCTTTTCGCGGGCTTTTCCTGCCTTGGAGACCCCCCTAAATCAGGAAAATGCTCAATGTACCCCCCTAAATTCGGAATAATTTCTCAGGAGTCCAAAGAGATGAGAGAAAAAAAGAAAAACACCCCCTTTTTAAAGAAATCTCCGGGTGAAAAGTCAAATACACCCCTTTTTTTACAATTCTCGGGCCGGACTTTGTCGCACGAAAGTACCCCTTTACCGGACATTTTGGCAACACGCATGCGGTCATTCCGACCTCTGAGTGGGGGGGCGGGGGCAAATGCATGTTATGAGAGCTGCATACCGTGAGCAGCAACATGGGGGGGGGTGGCGTGGCTGGAGTATGCTGGTAGGACTTTACCTATGTATCCAAGTCCAACTATTTCCGGAATCACAGAAATGTTTCTTCTTCTGTTTAAACATACTTTGTCTGTTATCTTTCGAAAGGACTTTTTATTGTGGTCATTTTACCACCATTCTCATCTACCCACATTTTATTACAACCGAGTAAAGAATTGTAATGTAATGTAATTCATTATTGTGGGCTATAATTTCGCCATGACTTAATAAAATGTTACCAAACTAGGCAGACAGTTGTGGAGTATATGGATTCACAAGTCTGCCAAATTTCACAGACCTAGGAATATAATTCGCAATTTAGACTAGAGCAAGTTGATATTAATTCAGAATTTTCTTGAAAAGCATAATTTTCAACAGTAATTTTTGTAAAGTTGGTTAGCAGTATTTATTTGCCTGGCAGGGGGATCTCTTGAAGCATCTAAATAAATTTAAAAGTTTCAGAACTTAAGAGGGCGCTATTTAACTATTGCATGACTGTTGGTGAGAGGAATTTAGCTGGGGTGTGTGCAATCACTGCAATGTCAAGATAAGGATATCTTGAAAAGTTGAGACAGAAACGAATTAATATAAAAAAAGAAGTATTTTTTTGGCTCCAGGGGTAATTTTTTAAAGAATTTTAGCGACTTCTAATGTAGTTGATTTCGGATTAAATTCAGAGAATGAAGTTTGCTTTTTAAATGGCCGGTTATACATTGAGGGCTGAAGAACAACTCTTGGACTATCTAGAGCAATTTGTTAGATGTATCTGTACAGGCGCGTACGCTTGGGGGGGGGGGGGTGGGGTTAAACCCCCCTTAAGTTTTGTTTATGAATATGTTTTTTGGGAACCCCCCCCCCCCCCCCCCCCCCCCCGGGCCCCTTGGATTTTTTTTTTTTTTTTTTTTTTTAAATAATAAAAAAAAAAAATGCCAATGGCTGACCTAAAAAAGTGTGTCCTCTTACCTCCCCCCCCCCCCCCCCCCCCGCTTATTCAGCGGCTGGCTGAGTCGTTGCGAAATTTTGGGTCCGATTTTTAAACCCCCCCCCCCCCCCCCCCCCCCCTTGAAAAAATCCTGCTTACGCCACTGTATGTGTAACATCTAGGATAGTGGAGATAGGTAGTCCGAAAGAAAGGACTTGCTTCATCTGTAATACAAATGTTTTTTCTTCTCTTTACAAATTTAGCGTGAATGTATCTCAGTCCATGTCGGCCAGTGCGGCGTCCAGATGGGCAATGCCTGCTGGGAGTTGTACTGCCTGGAGCACGGCATCCAGCCTGATGGCCAGATGCCCTCAGACAAGACCATCGGAGGTGGTGACGACTCCTTCAACACCTTCTTCAGTGAGACTGGAGCTGGCAAGCACGTACCCCGTGCTGTTTTCGTCGATCTTGAGCCGTCCGTTGTGGGTAGGTGTTTTTTTCCACAAACTTTGAAATAATCATGTTGTTTAATGCAAAACATATTTGTCCTGAAAGGGGGGAACGTAGTGTTGCTTACAATTAGTGGTAACTTGTGATTGGCATCTACTTACCATTTGTTGAATTACATGCATCATTTAAAAAACAAATATCTTGCAGACAATTAGTGTATTGCCATCCGCCTTATATTTATTTTGATTACAAAAGCTGAAAGGTAAGAGAAATGGACGACACAAAATTCAGAGATCTACGGATGTATCTTTTAGTAAAGTCACAGTGGCCCAATCCTGCATGCATTTCCTGTAGTTGATCAAGATCAAAGTTTGAAAAGAAATAGCAAACACGTTTGAAACTGAATCAGATATGTTCAATGTTTTTAATACAGGTAGTTTAAAAGGTTGTTTTCAAGCAAGTTCTTCAATATTTCTTTTAATTTCAGATGAGGTTCGTACTGGTACCTACCGTCAGCTCTTCCACCCTGAGCAACTGATCACCGGCAAGGAGGATGCCGCCAACAACTACGCCCGTGGTCACTACACCGTCGGCAAAGAACTCATTGATCAAGTCTTAGATCGCATCAGGAAGTTGGCTGACCAGTGCACAGGTCTCCAGGGATTCCTCATCTTCCACAGCTTCGGTGGCGGCACCGGCTCTGGCTTCACCTCCCTGCTCATGGAGCGTCTTTCTGTCGATTACGGAAAGAAGTCCAAACTGGAGTTCGCCGTCTACCCCGCTCCCCAGATCTCCACTGCTGTTGTCGAGCCATACAACTCAGTTCTTACTACTCATACCACCCTGGAGCACTCCGACTGTGCCTTCATGGTTGACAACGAGGCCATCTACGATATCTGCAGACGTAACCTCGACATTGAGCGTCCCACCTACACCAACCTCAACCGTCTCATCGGCCAGATCGTCTCCTCCATCACCGCTTCTCTTCGATTTGACGGCGCCCTCAACGTCGATCTGACAGAGTTCCAGACCAACTTGGTGCCCTACCCACGTATTCATTTCCCTCTGGCCACCTACGCCCCAGTTATCTCTGCTGAGAAGGCCTACCATGAGCAGTTGACCGTTGCCGAGATCACCAACGCCTGCTTCGAGCCCGCCAACCAGATGGTGAAGTGTGATCCCCGACACGGCAAGTACATGGCCTGCTGTCTCCTGTACCGTGGTGATGTCGTCCCCAAGGATGTCAACGCCGCCATCGCTACCATCAAGACCAAGCGTACTATCCAGTTCGTCGACTGGTGTCCAACTGGCTTCAAGGTCGGTATCAACTACCAGCCACCCACCGTCGTCCCTGGTGGTGATCTTGCCAAGGTTCAGCGTGCCGTCTGCATGTTGAGCAACACCACCGCAGTTGCCGAGGCCTGGGCCCGTCTTGACCACAAATTCGATCTGATGTACGCCAAGCGTGCTTTCGTCCATTGGTACGTTGGAGAGGGTATGGAGGAAGGTGAGTTCTCCGAGGCTCGTGAGGATCTGGCTGCTCTCGAGAAGGACTACGAAGAAGTTGGTGTTGATTCCGCAGACGCAGAAGGAGAGGACGAGGAAGGTGATGAGGAATACTAAACTAAGATGTCTAACAGTCCCGGCAGAGCCATCGATGTAGTAAACTATTAAAAAAAAAACTCATTTTAAAAATGCAGCTGTAATTTTCTGCCAATGTATCAACTTTTCCTTGATGATACTAGCGTTTGGTCTCCGACTAAACCAACTCAATTATACCAAGCTTGCCCATTAGTTTAAAAGCAGCTAAGCAAAATACATTCATAACTGTTTAAGAATATCTGAACTGAGTACTATCAACGTTAAACCTAAAAACCTAAAATTATCCAACTCAAAATGCACTTCCTGTTTTATTTAAGATATTCAATTATTCAAATCACTATGACGAAAATGTGAGAATATAGATTAATAATATCTCCTAAGATCATTGCCTCTGCATAATTTTGTCTGTGAAATAGATAACATACACAATTACACATTTATTAGAACGAGATAAGATATGAGTGGGTGTCAAAGTGAGTGGCATTTTGTGGAAGATAATACCGAATCAGTGTTTGAGTGGACATAGAGAGAGAAAGAGAGAATTGGATAAACGGAGACATCAAGAGAGAGAGAGAGAGGGAACAGCTGAAGAGAGAAGGAGAAAACAGCTGAGAAGAGGGAGAGGGAGAGAGAACAGAGCTTAAGAGAGAGAGAAGGAAAAAAGATTGGAGATGAAGCGAGAGAGAGAAAAAGACTGAGATAAAGAGAGAGAGAGAGAGGGAACAGCTGAAGAGAGAAGGAGAAAACAGCTGAGAAGAGGGAGAGGGAGAGAGAACAGAGCTTAAGAGAGAGAGAAGGAAAAAAGATTGGAGATGAAGCGAGAGAGAGAAAAAGACTGAGATAAAGGGAAACAGAGATCAAGCGAGTGAGATTGAACAGAGCTGAAGAGAGAGGGAGAGAAGAAAAAAGATGAAGAAAGATTGGAGATAAAGAGAGAGTAACTGAGATAAAGGGAAACGGAAAGATCAAGAGAGCTAAAGAGAACAGAGCTGAAAACAGAGAGAGAGAGAGAAGAAAAAAGGGAAAACAGATTGGAGATCAAGAGAGAGAGAGAGAAAAGGAGAAGAAAAAAGATTGGAGAATAAGAGAGAGAGAGAGAGAAAGAGACTGAGATAAAAGGAAACAGAGAGTGAGAGAGAGTGATAGAGAACAAAGCTGAATAGAGAGAGAGAGAGAGAAATAGAGAGAGAAAGAGACTGAGATAAAGGGAAACAGAGAGTGAGAGAGAGTGATAGAGAACAAAGCTGAATAGAGAGAGAAATAGAGAGAGAAAGAGACTGAGATAAAGGGAAACAGAGAGTGAGAGAGAGTGATAGAGAACAAAGCTGAATAGAGAGAGAGAGAGAAAGAGAAAGAGACTGAGATAAAGGGAAACAGAGAGTGAGAGAGAGTGATAGAGAACGAAGCTGAATAGAGAGAGAGAGAGAGAGAGAGAAAGAGAGAGAGAAAGAGAGAGAGACTGAGATAAAGGGAAACAGAGAGAGAGAGAGAGAGAGTGAATCATGACTGTACGCAGAGGGCGCTAGGGTACGTCGACGCCCCCACAAAAAAAAAAAAAAAAAAAAAAAAAAGGAAAATACAATAAATTATCAATGATTCATTGCATTTTCCCACAATCCCCAACAGGAAAAAATCCTCTGTAGGGCCATGCATTATGGTTCAAGGCATGCCAACATAGAGAATTTTTCAATGTTGGGGGTCGGGGCAAAATGCAATGAATTATTGAACATTTATTGCATTTCCTTGATTTTTTGTTTTTGTGGGGCGTCGACGTACCCTAGCGCCCGCTGCGTACAGTCATGATTCATTGGCTAAGCAATGCCCTCGTTACTGTGAGCCCCCAGGATCAAAACCGTGTCGATGTGCTATATTAGTGCCCTTTTATGAGGCATTAATCCCCATTACTGTCACTTCTGTCAGTTATGACTTAAGGACGTAGGTTTCCTGGTTGATTAACATAGTAGCGCACACATGCTTTAGCAGTCACGCAAAACAAACACTCCCCAATTGTCATGCGATAACATTTAATAATGTATACTTTTATCTAGATCTATTAGGAATAAATCATTGCCAAAATCATTCAATAAATTATTCCATCATTATGACCAAGAGTGTACATATAATCAAAATCATGCAATTTACATCATACTGACTTGACATCATATTCAGAATAATCAAAATACAATTCAAATGTAAAATTCTTAATCAACATCAATTGCTAAACAATACAACTCTTTCATACATTTCCTTATTCGTTTAAAACACTAATAGAAATGATAATAATGATAAAATACTTAGCTATTTTATGTTCATTTTTTTTCTTTCAAAAACGCTTGATCTGTTGAAGTAAACAAAATAAATAAATGCTTGTACATGAAATATTATAGTCTGTAAACAATACAAAAAATTGTTGTATTCTTTTCTCCTCATTCCCACCGTGAGGATCTTGACGTACTTACAAAATACCACGGAGTTACTAGGCTAGTAACTCCATGAGTAAACTTAGTTGTTGTTTCTTAGTTTACACATTTTCAAAAATAAAACCTTTTTTAAGTCTTCAATCTCTTTTTCCAATTTTCCTATTTTTCTTTCCGTTCCTCCGTCCTTTTTCTTGATAGTTTAATTGTAAACTTTTGCATTTCCATTTTCATGAAATCCCATAGTACTCTCTTATCTTTAATTTCAACAGACAGTTTCACTTTTAAAGTCTGTATTTCTTCTCTCATCTTCTTAACGAATTCCTTGTCACTTAATAGACTATTATTAAACTTCCAATAAGATTTTTTATTTGTATTATTTTGTCGATGACCTATTATGGAAAACCAGATTAACTGCTGAATGGTTAAAGGCTATAGAAGGAACAATGTCACATTCGGATGCTATCTGTTTCAAATTATCTGATATAATCCAATAATCTAAGCGGCTTTGCATAAATGAATTTCGTTGTGTATACATGTATTGCTTTTTATCTTTATTTTTACTTCTCCATACATCACTTAATATAAAACTATCCATGAACTCTTCCCACTTTTTTACTAAATTTTGTTTGCTTTTTTGATACTTGTCCAAAATAATCAAAATTTGTGTCTCTAATAACATTGAAGTCACCCCCAAGTGCTACTGGATTTCCTTCTATATTATTCCTATATAACAATTGACTTAAATCACTTAACCATTGTTTTTGGTCTCCTTCGTTATTTTCAGTGGGGGAATAAACTTTTCCAAGTAGCATCTTCTGTCCTTGTATACTCCATTTAATCAAGACGTATCTACCATTTCTGTCTACACAAGTATAACAAAATTCGATGTCTAACTTATTATCTATTAACACAAGAACTCCTCTTCCGTGGTTAGTACCGTGACTAAAAATACATTTCCCACCCCCACTCTAATTGCCATTTGCCCTCTATACATCTAGCGTACTACATGTTTCTTGTAAGCATACTATATCAGCTGATTTGGTCTTGCACCGATTAAAGATTTGTTTTCCCGTTTGTTTTGATCTCTTAGGCCAAATTTAAAAAAAACATGTTTAGCGTCCTGCCTTTTTGAAAAATAGGAAGGAGGAGGCCCATTATTTTTTATTTTTTTCTTCAAAATGGCCGCTCAAAATGGCCACTCAATTTTCTAAATAAATTATAACTCATTCTATACAAAATAGGTAAATGAGGTACATGGAATGCCTAAAATGAATAACGAAGTAGTACTTATACATGCGACCTACTGTAAACTTAAACCAAAAACATTGTATTTGTACAATTTTAATTTGTTATTACATACATGTAGTATCTAAAAGTTACCCCTTACGGCCATGCTGAAGAACAGCCATTGGCTTAAGTATGCCACCGTGCTAAAATAAAATAAACAAACAAACAAACTGCAATTATGTATTTGGTGAACGAACTTCAACGAAGAGAATATATCTATTACATCTTTCTTGTCTAATTTCATTATCTTTAGATTTTAAGATAACTCCAAACGAAGTTCTAGGATGTATTCAAAACTAAAAAGAAATAAAGCTCCATGAAATACTTTGCCAAGACTGCTGGACGCATAGTTCCCGGAACGCCGAAGGCGGCGCTATTTATCGAACATTCTATCGGAACACTGTAAATGCTTTCATTAGGAAAGGACCTGTTGTAAGTAAAGAGCTCCAGTTTTTGTATGATCACGTTCACCCTTTTTCGCTTTAAATACATGGATACAACACTGAACAGTTTTAATTACATATGACTTTCTTAAAATTAAATGACTCGCAGGTAATTAGGAGAATTTATCTGTTTTTTGTCAAGTTGTCTGATTTGATGACGTCATTGGCGATTTATAAGCCATTTATAAGCCATACACCAGTTTACAGTTGTATCAGTGCGCATGCGCAGACAGTTGACCTCGAGTCATTGGCCCCAAAATTGGGGCCAATAACCTCTGACCTCTGGTATTTATGCGTAAATTAAAATTGCGCCCATGCAAATGATGATGTGCGCGCACAACGCAGCGCGCAGGCAGTGATGTCATCATTATTTGCATGGGCGCAATCTTAATTTACGCATAAATACATGACTCCTAGGTCATTAGCTTTGTTTAAAATGGCGCACACAACTGTAAACTGGTGTATTGGCTAGAAAAGTCATTGGCGATTTTTTGGCGATTTATAAGCCAAATAATCTCTTTCATGAATTATGTGTCATTATTATCTTGGCTGTTTGGTTATCTTTTATTCACAAGAGCGCTCAAATCTTCAATCCTGAGCACATTCTTGCAAGGCCCTGGTCTAAGTAACAAGTTAAACACTCCTACTCCTACTCCTAGACCTAGTGCCAATGAGGTGAAACACGACAGTCTTTGACCTCATACTCATAGGTGACAATAGCGCATATACGGGGTGGTGCATTTGAGGAAAGTCGGCACCCGCGGTAACACACAAATGCACACAATGATAACGACAAGGCTTGCCGGCGGTGTGAGTTGTCTTGTGATTTTACGATTTGTTTTCTTTTAATTAAAAACTTTTTTGAGTAAAATTAGTTATTGATTATGGCAGTTTATATATCACAAATTTATATCTCTGAGGTATAAATTTTGATTAAATTCTTGTCAATTTTGTACAATGATGCTTGAAAGTCTGACTACTCTGGCGGTTTTTCTCCACGTTATTGAGGTCCTAATTCCCCCTAGAGTGCCTCTAAATATGGAATTGTAAAAACCATGCCTTAACCTAGAGGGCCTCACTAAAATATGCTAAAAATTAAAGATTTGAGTGCTCTGGTGAACAAAAAACAACATAACAGCCAAGATTATAATGAAAGACAGAACATTCCATTGTCATTCATTCATGATTTTTTTTTTTGTTACAATAATCATATTTTTAAGAATTTTTTTA